GTATAGTGTATTTTCATTGGTCAATAAATTAGATGATGCATCATGTGATATTGAACTTAGCAGCAACTGTCTCTATTTTCTCTTGTATTAGTTAATTCAAACTATGTTATTGTAGCAGTGTGCTTATTGACCTGATCTGTGGTGGAAGTTAGTTGGAGTAAAGAAACAAATTAGATATTGGTTTGGAGAAATGACTTTGTTTTCATTTACAAGATGTGAAATTATCTCTGGTAATTCATATAGTGTAGCATTCAATTGTATGGCATATAAAAAAGGAGTATGCTTAAACCAGCTGACTGCTTGTTGGCTATTGGTTTGGGCTTGTTGCATCAATAGTGGAGTCCATTTTCTTTTTGTGTTCACAGGAGGTCATTTTCACAGCCTAATGGTCAGACAAGCAGTCAGCCATGCTCTTAAGTAGCCTCTATGTTTAGCGTGTATATGTGAAGTCTCTCTCTCTGCTCTCTGCTCCTCTCCACTGTCTGGTTTCTCTTTTAGCAGGGGTAGGCAAACTTTTTGAGGGTTTGTACCAAAACTGGCCAAATCTCTGACACAAAGTTTTTCCATGTGCCAATCAAAATATTTTGAGAACATATTATTTGATATCTCTTAAGTATGTGAAGAACTTTTTTAAGGGATAAAAAATCATGCCAGAGCAGTAAAGACACAATAGTGTAAGAAATTATGTAAATCATATAAAATTGACTGAATGAAAAAAAATTATGACAGGTTTTTACGAAAAATTTTTTGTGATATTTTTTTTATTAACCTGTAAGTGTTTCTGCCATACATACTTACACAATTTAACTATTATTAGCATCAACTCAAAAAGTTAACATTAACTGTTAACATTTAACTGTTATTTTTTTCGATTAATCTAGTTATACCTTTTTATGACTAAAACACAGTAAAGGTTATTAAGAATAATCTTTTGCTGATTTTAAATCCCTTATAAATGATGTATTAAAAAAAGCAAAATATATTTATTTACTGTCAAAACTACATTTAAACAGCCCTGAACCTTTGCCACTTTGAAAAGAAAACATCAGATAAAACTAGAGGCAGAAAACTTGTTAACTATTTTTATTTATTATCAGTGGGACTTCTGCTGCAGCATCATTGATGACATAGATTTTATATCTGGTTTATATTTAGTAACCTTGAAAGATATGTGTATGCTCTACAAGTATGAAACTAGTAGAGCATGCACATCAGGCTATTTCTGTAATGAGACTTAACAAAATTCATCACTAAGAACAAAAATTCACAAGCATATGTAGATGAAAACATGGATAGTAATGCTGTTGCAAAGTTTTGAAACAGACAAAATTTTCTGGAATGCTATTCCAAGTCCTTAAAACTTTGTTTTCCACATTTCTCTCGGATACTCTCATGTCTAATTGCTTCATTTCAATATTTTCCAAGTTAACTCTTAGTTCAACAAATTTCTGCTTCAAAATTGAGCTACTTTGAAATTCAATCAATTGCATTTCAAAATCATCCCTGTCCATCCATGAAAACATTTGCAAGTTTAGTTCATCAAGTTTGATACTATCTGAAAACTTAATGAATTTTGCTGTCTTTTCTTGTTCTCTGAATTTATCAAATCTTGTAAAGAACTGCTCAACAGTTGATTCAATGATGTTTACAAACAGCTTTTGAAGACATTGGCAGTCTGTTCTGCCATCTTTTGGGAGATCATTGATGTACTTCAGTGTTTGGGAAATATTTAAATCTCTCATTATCTACATACCTCTTAAAAACTTCTAGTTTCATTTGAAAAGGCTTTATGTAAAAAAACATATCAAGTGTCTTACCAGAGCACTGTAATTTAATATTCAAGTCATTGAAATGTTCACAAAAATCTGCAAAAAGCATCAGTTTACAAACCCACATGATATCAGACAATTCTTGGTAAGACCCTTTTGATCATTCCCCCAAAAAAAAGCTTTGTCTCATCTAAGCATTCAACAAATCATTTCAGAATCAAACCTTGGCTAAGCCAACGAACATTGTTGTACATTTTCAGTTCTTTATATACAGATTCTACCTTGTTCAGTAAAATTTGGAATTGTCTTTTATTTAAAACCCGAGCAGAAATGTAATTAACAACCTTAGTAACTGTTTGTATCACTTCCTGAAGTTCCTGTAGGCCAGTTTTTGCACATAATGCCCCCTCATTTATGATGCAATGAAAACCTATCAGTGAATGACTAACAGCTTTTGCAAACAGATTTACAAATTCTGCCTTCTCACCAGTCTCGCTGGGGGCACCATCTGTTCTGGCAGATACTACTTTTGAAATGTGAATTTGTCAAGTAGATAATTCGTTCATAACTGCTTTACATATTTCAGCCCTGGTAGTATGCTCAGGTAGTGTTACAAGGGAAACCATCTCTTCACATACTTCATCATGCCTACAAAATTGAGAAAATATGGCTAGCCTAGCTGATTCATACTTTCATCAACACAAATAGAGAAAAAAATTGCATGAAGACAAATCTTTTATCAATCGTTCAGCTGTATTCCTTTCCAACTTAAGTATCCTATCCTTATCTATTTTCCTACTTGCAGACAAATCTTAAATGTGCTGAAAAATCTTTTCCTTTTCTGAAAATGTTATGGAGTGATTTCACAGTGGAGGCTTGTATTTGTACTAAGTTGGTCCTAAAATAGGTTTGACGCACAAAACGTTAGGAACTTGATATAATAGGTAATGACGCAGAGAAATCTAGTTGTGGTTGCTGATACTTTAGTATCCGACAAACAGTTGTCCAGCATTGACTGACTGACCGACCCACTGAGTGACTCCTCCTACTACTACTACTTATTATAGGTGGGAGAGTCTATTAACAATAGAATAGGTGTGTTCCATTATAACAGAAAAATTGTCAAAAAGGTAAAGGTACACAAGCTAACCAAACTTCTTTAATATATTCGCCATCACTGAGTGGATTTCCATGTTGAGCAATAACTTTTTTTGAAATTTCAAAACTAGCAGCAACTAAGTTGGAATTGGGCCTATCTCAAATAAAGTTCATAAAAGTATCAGCCTGTTCTTTTGTCTTGCTCAGGTCATGAGAAATAAATTCTCTTTGCTCTTCCTCAGTTTTATTGCTTAAGTTCTTCTTACAAACACTTTCAAAATGTCTCTTTACAGAAGAAGCCCTACAAACAAATTGCCTTGGAACAGAAAATGCTTTATGTCTTTCTTAATCATGCCAAATTTTTCAGTCCATTATTTTTTAAATTCTCTTATATCTTCATCATTTGAATGACATCATTTCTTAGCTGATGATCATGACATTCTGCACAATCTGCAAAGGACTGAAAATAAAAATACATGAGATAATGACATACATGAATAAGGAAAAAGGGAATCTAATGAATAAGTTTCACATGCCAGAAACAAGTCATCAGTGTGCCATGTTTGTCACGTGTGCAAAGGATTGCCCACCTCTGTTTTATAGCCTATATAAGGGAAATGCACAAACGTAATTGTAGACATCTATAACAAGTGAGAGTTGCGTCGATAATGGCCAGCACTCTGGTATATTTGTGTTTGTTTCAAAATTTGTAGAAAATTTGAGTAGAGTGTGGCTTGTGTATGACTGAGCTAGATGAAAATTAGTGTGTAGTTAGAGATATATATTTTCTAATAATTGTATAAATTTGGCTTTAATTTGTTATATCCATGACTATGGGTAAATTGTGTCTTTCTGCTACAGACTGAGTGCATAAAAGTCTTAAGAAAAATGGAAACCATTCAAACTCTTAAACTCAGAATCAGAAAGAGACAGCTGAAATTTCTAGGGTGAAAAGAAATGAGAAAAGAATGCTTGTAAAACTTAACACTCACAAGGAATATTGTGGATAAAAGAAAACGTTGTTGGGCATCTAGCTGACCAGTTTTTGTGAATGGATGGCAGAACGAGTAGCAAGAGAGATAGGAAGTTGTGGAGAGTAGTGATTGCTATCATCCTGAAGAGATACAGCACATAGAAGTGGTAGAGTGCTTGCTGTAGAAGCTGTATTAGTTTGTTAGCCACGTGTGTTATTGCTTGTGAATTCAGTTCTTAATGTCTGCTCCATATTTGTGATCCTGTGTCAGAGAAGGCAAAACTTAGTAACTAAAATACTAGTCTCATTTTTTCCCCCATTTCGTTCGTTTTCCGTATGCATTCCAGATTATTCTTCGAACAATGATTCAATCAGTTGTAATATTTTTTTTCAGATTTCAGACTGCTTT